ATCATAAGTCCATTCTCCAATCCACATCTTCTTCAAATCATCAATTAAAGGTTGTAAGTACACATCAATTCCGGCTTTTGGACTGTGCGGGCCTGGAATAACACACGTCAAAAACATGTATGGTTTTGTCATGCACATCTCAGGAGGGAGGTTGTAAGGTGTTACAATAACTGGCCAACAAGAATACGCACTTCCTGACGCTTGCACGTATGGGGCAAATCCATCAGAGCATAATCCAAGCCTGACATTTCTAGGTTCTGCAGCAAAATCTGGATGTGTCCGATCAAAGTGCTTCCATGCCTCACCATCAGATGGATGTCGCATAGTGCCAGAACTTGTTTGGTTTGTATGATGCCATGTCATTTGACTTGCACTGTGCATTGAAGCAAACATTCTTTTTAACCTTGGTATTATAGGAAGATAAAACATGGATTTTACTGCTACACGCTTTTGCTTGCTGTTAACGGCTCTATTGCGAACTTGATATCTTGGACTATTACAAAACTTACACTCCTCTAACGATCCATCTTGAGTACCAAACTCATTGTCATAAAACAACATGCAACCGTTAATGCAACAGTCAATCTTTCTTACTTTTAAACCCAACTTTGACACCTACTTCTTTGCATCATAATAACTTGTAGGCAAGTTGTCTTTCGTAGCGGTGGAGTCCAACATCATTTTTGCAAAATGTTCCAGACATTGATCAGAAACATTCCAATTTGACTTGGCGGCCAATAATCTCACACACATTGATAGCTTTGAGTCTGACGACCCCTCAAACAACGGCGTATTCATCTCGTTCAATAATTGATAAAATCTTTGCGCTTCCTCATTCGGCAACTCTTCCCCGTCAAAATCTCCAGGTTCATCATATGTCACGTTCACACCAAAAGCATCCTCAACCATGTCACCGATCAAATTAAAGTTCTCGTCATACTCCATAACCGGTCGACTACTTGAAGCATGCGTGTTGCTAGTCTCTGGTACATTAACCGGTAGTTCTTCACCATTATACGTCCAAACCCAATAATTTTCAATGAATCCCCTTCTATGCAGATGACGTGTTACTTCCTCTGGGTCACTAATTATTGGTCTACATTCACATTTAAGACAGGGGCACCTAACCCCTCCTTCGCTTCGACAACAATCCTGAGCAACGCCCACTTAATAAACCCATCAACTCCTACTATAAAATTGGGTTTAAGTCCACTTCTTCCTGGATATGTTCTATCGTACATCCAACTACGATAATACCGATAATATTCCATACTGCACATTTATACAATCATTGTCTTTTTTTAATCAACTTAATAATATTATTCTTAAACTATTTAATACTATTCTTAAAAATATAAATTTTGCTTTTTTATATATATACTAACATATAAAAAAATATTCAAATATAAAATATATAATTTTTTATTATATAACAATAATATCAAAAAACAATAATATAACATATTTACTTTTTATTATATATACAACAATAATATTAGAAAACAAATAATGTAACATATATACTTTTTATTATATATATATAACAATAATATTAAAATAATAGTATAATATATATATACTCTTTTTTTAATTATGTTTTTTATAAATTCTTATTTTAATATATAATTTGTTTTCCATATCTTTAACATATAAATAAAAAAATAAAACTATTATAATAAATATAATATACATTTTTGTTTTTAAATATGTTATTAAATTTATGTGTTAACATATATATATACATCTATAAAAAATAAGACTTTTAATTTTATGTTTTCTAAAATTTTTTATTTTAATATATATTCAAAAAAAATTTATTTTATACGTATATACTAACAAATTTTTTTTATATGTCTATATAACATGCAATAATATTAATAAATATTAACCTATATATATTAACAATAATATTTCTGTTTAATAATATATTAATATATAAAACATTCTAATTTTCATTTTATTTTAAACATTAACCTATAATACTAATTAACCTAAAACTAAAATTAAGTAAAATATTTTTTTAATTCACATAAACAAAATACATATACTACTAATCTATATAATACATATAAAATATTTAAAAAAATGCATAAATACCTCTATATAATTTCTTCACTTAATTGTTCTTCTTCAAATTTCTCTACAGGTTAAACAAAATACCATTTTTAATATTTATTACCAGTATAATAAATAATGAACAAATGAAATAAAAATTTATCAAAATATGAATACCTTATTCTTCTTCAACAATTTGGGATGGAGGAAAGTTGATTTGGGAATTTGGATTTGAGAGGTAAACAAAGGAAGAAGAAAGGAAGAAGAAAGGAAGAGGAAACAAACATGTTGTAACAGATGAGAATTTTGTGGAGATGTAAACATCAAGTAGCGACGTGACTGTCACGTCGCAACATTGCCACGTGAGACTCACGTCGCTACACACTCAACAGAAATATAATTCACTTTCCCACTCTGCCACCCTGTCATCAATCAACTTTAATTTCTCCCCTTAAATGTAGCGACGTGGCTATCACGTCACTACCAAATTTCAAAATAATTTTAAACTCCCTCCAACTAAATGTCTCAGAGTTTATACATATTAAATTTTCGTTTTCTGTAGCGACGTGTAAGACACGTCGCTGATTTTTTTACTAAACAACCTTCTCTGACTTCCTTTATTTATCATTAAAATATATTTGTGACGTGGTTATCACGTCGCAACTGCATTTATTACTCACGTGATAACCACGTCGCTAATATATGTCGCTGGGGACCATCTTTCTTGTAGTGTCTTATTATTCATAGTGATTCAATATGTATAATTTAATACAAAAGTTAATAGACTTGTAATAAAAATATCTATTAATTTTTAGTAGTAGTATTAAATAACACAGATTAGACAAACTTAAATGATAATTTTTCATTATTAAATAGTTCCTTTGTCCTATATTATTTGTTACGTGGATCATTTCATATCAATTAAAAAACAATAATAAATAAAAGAGAAAGAATAAAGACTTTATCAAATTATTTTAATTAACTATTTAAATTAATATTAATGTTAAATGAGAAAATAATAAATTAAAAATATTTATTAGAAAGTACAATTGAAAGATTAAATATAAAATTGTATTGGTAATATAAAGTGACAAGTATTTTTAAATAATTTTTTTTTTAATGTGACACTTATTTTAGAATAAAGGGAGTATAAATTGGACGGTAAACAATAATGATAATAATAAAGAAGATATATTTTTATTTTAAGAATAAGTTTAAAGACTTACTATAAATTTTAATTCTCCATTTTGATTAATCTAACAATTTAATTGATTATTTATATAAAAAAAATATTTTTTATAAATAATTAAATTAAATAATTAATTAAAGTTGTTAAATTAATGAATATAGAAGGTTAAAATTTAGAATAAAATTTTAAACTTAATTTTGGAGTAAAAATATCAATAATAATAATAATAATAATAATAATAATAATAATAATAATAATAATAATAATAATAATAAGGTTAAATTACAATTTTGGTTCCCCTATCATGTCTGATTCATGAAATTAGTTATTCTATTTTAAATTCAAACAGTTTTGGCTCTCATATTTTAAATTCAAATAATTTTAGTCTTTCTCTCATGTTTTTTCATAGAAAATCGATTAGATTTTTTGTTTTTTAACTTATATTTCTATCTATAAAGTTCCAATAATAGATTTATATACGATAATTTATCAAATTTTATAAATAATTTGTCTTTTAAAAAGTGAAAACATCGTTAATTTTAAGTGTAAAAATATGAGAGAGACCAAAACTGTTTAAATCTAAAATAGAGGGACTAAAACTGTTTAAATTTAAAATAGGATGACCGACCGATTTCGTGAATCAAATAAAATAGAAGGATCAAAATTGTAATTAAACCTAATAATAATAATAATAATAATAATAATAATAATAATAATAATAATAATAATAATAATAATAATAATAATAATAATAATAATAATAATAATAATAATAATAATAATAATAATAATAATAATAATAATAATAATAATAATAATAATAATAATAATATAATTCACATCATAATTTTTAATATTTTATGTTATTATAGAATTTATTTGATACACACTTTTACTTTTATCACATTCAAAATATCATTTATATCATTTGTAATTCATTCTTACCAAAAAAATATTTATGTCCATTAAAGATGAATCGATTGGATACTACTCAAATTCAATTTTTGATAAAAATAATATTTAATCAATGAATCATCTCTTTGAAAACTAAATTAATCAATTTATAATGTAGATCAGAACTATTTAATTAAACAACTATTTATAAATAGTTGTGATGCGCTTTCAAAAACAAATCAATTAATTTCATTATTATAAGTGTTGAGTAATTAAAGAAAATTAATTCACCTTTTATATTTTATATTAAAATACACCATTAAAAACATATTTTCGGTAATATATATTTTGATTTTCGGCCATATATTAAGTGAATATACACTATCGAAAATATCACTTCAATAACCATCTCATATTTTAAGAAGTGTATTGAAAAAAATGGGTGGCACTCGGTATCTACAAAATTATTCTCTCTTTTTTTGGTCAAGTCAAAAATTAAGAAAATAATTGAAAAAGTAAATTAAATTTTTTGGTTAATTAAAATCAAACGTATCCTATCTAGGACTTTCTTCATATAAATTATTTCGATTATAATTATTCATGATACTATATAATTCTTCTTTGACTTATTTATGGAAAACATTTTAACTTTATTGATATATGGATATTGTTAGTGTTTCCCATGATAATAAAAACATTAAATATTTCTTACTAATATCCTCATAATACTAAAAAAAAAAACGATATGCAAATCACAAAACATTGAATACATTTGATTTTTTAAGATTATATAAACCTAGTACACTATTCTCAAAAATCCAAAACAAAAACCAGAAAGGTTAGTTACAAAAAAAACATAAAAATGAACACAAATTTTTTGTTTGTGTTTTGCTTACTAGTTTGTATTGCAGAAGCAAAAGTTGAATACAAACTTTTCAATGTGATGAATTATGGTGCACGTGCTGATGATAGAACTGATAATAGTGTGGTAATAATTAATTATTAATTATTAATTATTAATTATTAATTAATCATATTCATTAATTAGTAATCTCTTGTCTTAATTTTTTCTTACAATTTTGATTTTGATGTGGTAGGCTTTTTTGAAAGCATGGAATGATGCATGTAAATGGAGAGGAAAATCAACAATTTTGATTCCAAAAGGATCATATATGCTTCATGAAGTTATATTTAGTGGTCCATGCAATGCTTGGATGAACTTTCAAATTGAAGGAACCTTGAAAGCTCCAAGTGATATATATTTGTTTAGGACTGATAGTTGGATAAGTTTTAGATATGTAAACAAGTTGAATGTTGGTGGAGGTGGCACATTGGATGGTCAAGGAGCTTTTGCTTGGGCGAAAAATGATTGTCAAACGAATCGAAATTGTCGAACACTTCCGACCGTATGTTGTTTTTTTATTTTAGAGTTAATTCTTCATATACGCTGACAGTATTCAATATTCGTGATATTAACTATTGTTTTGTGTATTTGTTTACTAGACAATGACATTTCAATTCATCACGAATGGTTATATCCATCACATGCGTTCGATTAATACCAAACAAAATCATTTTGTATTGTTTGGATGTAAGAACATGGTGATGACAAGATTGAAATTAATGGCTCCTACCGATAGCCCCAACACGGACGGTATCAAAATCGCGATGTCGACAGGAGTAACGATCTCGAGCGTGAACATTGGAACGGGAGATGATTGCATTGCTATGCTCTACGGTACTAAAGGGGTTCGGATTTCGGATGTTTATTGTGGACCTGGTCATGGAATTAGTATCGGAAGTCTTGGAAAGAATAACGGCGAAGACGATGTTGATGATATAGTTGTGAAAAATTGTACATTTAGTGGTACAGATAATGGTGTTAGAATCAAAACATGGACGGCTGTTTTGCAGAAAATTATGCATGTTTCTAACATTCATTATGAAGATATTGTGATGGAGAATGTGCGAAATCCTATTATCATTGATCAAAATTATTGTCCAAGTCATCCATGCAATCCAAAGGTTTGTACTCCTAATCCACACTTTTTGAGATATCTATAGACATCTTTTGACTACATAATTTAATCTCTTGCTAACAATTTTGTGTAGGGAGGGGTTTCAAGTGTTCAAATAAGCAATGTGAGTTACAAATTTATTAGAGGAAGTGCAAATTCAGATGTTGCAGCAACTTTGCAGTGCAGTCCAAATAAACCATGCCAAAACATTACAATGGATACTATTAATTTGTGGCCTAGTGGTAAGGGTAGTAAACTAAACAATGAGTGTTTAAATGTTAAAGGTGCTTCCCATGGCATACAGGTCCCCCGGGCTTGCATATAGTTTTCGCGATTTCTATCTGCTCATTATTGATATAGAGATAAAATCTCTGTATCGATAAAAGGGTCACTCGAGTACATATTAGTGTAATATTGAGAATAATGTTTCATCAATTAAAAACTAGGTGTAAGAGATGCGACAAATGTGTATCATTGTTTGTGTTTGTGGTATGAAATGAAACCTTTTTGCAACAAGCACAGTTTGTTATGTATTACTATCAATAACTAACGTATCTGAACAATATATAGATCAAATACATTGTTTATTCAATGAATCTAAAAAATAATATTTTTCTTATAAATAGGACCAGAGGGAATATTCAATTTTTTGTACGAGTAATTGGTGTAAGAAAAATGAAATGAAATAATACAATACGCTTTAATCTTCTGATTGACAAGCATATAAGAACTTTAATACAGTCACTATACAAAATACACTGTAATTGTGATCAGATTGACAAGCATTTACAACTAATTACATTGTAATCAGAGACTAATTTAGGTATAGAAGAACCCACCATCAACCTTCCTGTATTTTCAATATCGCCAACATCAACAACCACAGTGCTAAGCTCTTTTCCGATGATATAAATGCTTTTACCAACTGCAACGAGTTGGCAGGGTGGTCTTGTGCGCAACGGTGACAACTTACCAACTGGTATCCACTCGCGTGTCTGGTTACGCCACATCATTAGCCTGGTACCTGAACTTTGATCCAAAACAAAAAGGATTCTGTCCACAACAACCGCAGGACCTCTCCATCCTGAAACCATGTCAGCTTCTGCATGCTGCCATGTGCCGCTTGATGGTTCGTATACAACAGCATACACGTGAGGTGTTACAGGAGATTTGCCACATCGGATGTATATTTTTCCGTCCATGACTATTGAATCTTCAATTTCGGGAACAATATTTGGATCTTTGTGAGATGTCCAACCATTGATGCGAGGATCAAAAGTATCCCACGAATGAGGATCGCTTGAATTTGAACCTATGCCACCAATAGCATATAGTTTTTCGTCCATAACCTCACAAGCAAAGTAGCACCTGAAAGTTTTCAGCGAAGGAAAGTGGAGATTCTTACATTACAGTCGAAATAAAAACTTGCAGATCCATATTATAAAAAAAGAATCCAAGTATATACTTAGTTGTGGCTTTGTTTTTAGCATAAAAGTTCCTAGAAGTTCAAGTAAATGTTAGAAGTCTACCTATAACCTATTCTAAAAAATCCTAGCAGATTGATATTGCCAATCTATTTCTAGCATGTCTTCCAATACTTACTAACATAGCTTCCCAAAGGGAGAGACATGAGGATATTTACCTAGCAGTTGACAATGAAGCATCTTGAACCCAAGAGTTTGAGGAAGCATTGTATGAATAAACCTCATCGGTAGCATCTTCAGACCAGCCACAGCCACCCAATAAGAAAAGCTTATTTCCCAAAGCTTCAAAACCCATGCCTTTCCTTCTAACGATATGAGGCGGAAGCCCATGAACGAGCTTCCAAGATTTTGTCGACAAGGTTGGATCCAAAACATAACAGCAAACATGATCCAATTTGTCCCTGCACAAAGCATAGATCCATGTCTCATCAAGTTTATGCTTTCTACGATAATGAAGCCACTCTTTGCTGGAAACTAAGTCCCTCCATCTCTTTGAAACAGCCCTCAGAACTGAATGATATGTTCTAGGAACTCTTGCCAAGCACAAAAGAGAAATATCATCTGGAAGGCCACAAATAAGCCGAGTATTAATAGTGACTTTTACTTCATCATTATTCGACGACGATGCTTCCTCGGTATCTAAAAGCTCCATAATACTTCAGAAAACCTGAAAAGAAAAAGTACATGTCACTAGACACGACAACAACTCATCATTTCAATTTTACACGCGCAGACACCTCTGAACAAAACACTTGTGATTACGTTTAATTTATTTATTTTTTTACGTGTCAGTGTCAGTGTCGGTGTCACAATGAGAATTGAAGAAAAAAATTGAAATGCTACATAGGAAATCATCCAAATCCCAACAAATAAAAAACAAAGCTATATAAAACCATCAAACTATAATATTAATCATATGATTAATAATTTCTAAAACGGTATTTTTTTACAAAGATTCAATTTTTAAACCCACCCAGAAAATGCAGTGCGTTTAATGTTGCTAAACCTAGGTTTTGACAGTTTTCCCCCAATTTGATTTTCTGCAGTTGGAAGCAACAGATGCAATTTCAGATCCAACTCCAAAAGGCACTAAGATTTCGTTTTGCGATTGGAAAAGTTTATAAATTGCAAGTAAATGATGAACAATGAAGGAAATATTGGAACAAAAAGAGAAGAGGGAAACTCACCAGCACGGAATTAGGGTTTTCGTCTAAAAGCGCGTTGCAAAGAAGAGGAAAAAAACCAGAAATTTAGTCTAAAGAAATCTATAGTATTTAAAATAATAATAACTTTGTATATTTTTATAAATTTAGTTTTTAGATATTTAAAAATATTAATTTATTTGAATTGAACCAATTTGTTTTTAGTTGGTTTGATTTCATTTAAATTTTATGAAAAAATATTGCAAAAATTGAAACAAGTTTAGTCAACTATTGATTCTAATTATTTTTCTGAAAATTGAAAGAAATGAGATTTTATTTTCAATGAGGTAATCTTTGAGATTGTTTGTGAATAAGTGTGACTAAATTATCGTAACTAATTCAGATAAGTGTTGTGAAACATATCTAGTTTGAATATATCTCATGAGAATTTGTACGAGCATGTCGGCGCTTCTAAATATTTGAATGATGAGTATCTTAGATGTATGAAAGAATGTATTGTGTATTAGGTGTTTATCAATGTGACTCTTAGAAGTTTATTATTGATGTTGAATTCAAGATTTAGGTGTATAGCTTGATTCATTATGAATTGATTCATTAATGACATGTTGCATCAGGGTGTCGATGTTAGACATTAAACTTTTGTATACTACTAACATTGTGTCATTGTGGTGCCAACTTTAGATATTAGGGTTATGTGTACAATTGAAATTTTGTCAACAGGGTATCGACGTTAGACGTCGGGGTTATATGAACCCCACACAATTTGTCATTAAGGTATCGATGTTAAACATCATACTTATGTATACCACTGATGGTTTTATTCATCAAGTAACTCCACACGCAAGAAAGGATAAATCGTGGTATTCAAAAATTGAAAATAATTTATTGAAAAAATTCTAATTTTGAAAATGTTTATGTTAGTATAAACAAACAAACAAAGAAATAGTAGCGGAATAATGTAAAAAGAGAGAGAAACATAACGGAAAGAAAATAAAAGACTAAAACTAAAGGAAATAAAAGATAGAAAGATTGCACCACATATTTATCGTGGTTTAGCCTAAATCACTTGGCATAATCTAGTCCCTAAGGGTTTCCCCTAGATTTTGCCACTAAAATCAACTTTGAGCTTTTACAACCTTCAACTACAACTTGAGCTTTTACATAAAATCAATCCACAAACCTTCTAATAACAACCAGGACTTTTACATAGACTTAACTCAAGAAATTTCACTCAAAATTCTTTCAGGTTTAGCTTACAACCTTCTAATATTTTACAAAGATATTACACAAGAGAATTACACTTTTTAATAAAACAAAATTTTAGCACAACAATAATACAACACAACTGTCAGACGAAACTTTTCACTCTCTTGGCACTAAGACGACTCTAGTGAGAAAATAAATTTAAAAGAAATAGATAGTATAACAGAAATTTAAAAGAAACAGATAGTAAAAAAGAATAGTATAAAGGTTTCTATTCAGAATACTAGTGTGAAATAAAATGATGACAAACCTCTTTTATATAGGAAAAAATTTGGCTAAAAAAGAAACAATTCATAGACATTGTTCATGTTTCAATCGATTAAAACATAACTATAATTGATTAAACTGCCATAAAAATGGAAAGCCTAATATAGAGAATGAAGCCTTAAACGATTATATCCCTGGTCCCTCAGTTGATGTTTCAATTAGATAATTTGCTTGTAGTAACTACCCACAACAACATATTATATTTTAGTAATGGATAATGTAATAATTGTTTGTTTGTTTCTAAGCCAAGAGATAAACGAGTTATCAAGTAAGTGACATATATCTTTGGTACTTTTTGATCCAATTTACAACCATTTAAATCTAAATTAGATATCCAATAAAAGCATAATTCGTCCCTTTGGAGTACCATAACTACTACAAAAACAGACATTTTGTAACACAATATTACAACGAACTTCCAGTTAACTGTGTTAATAACTCATTTTTGGGCGATTTTTTATTTATTTACTAAAAGAAATTTCACTACGGTCATAGTTAACAACCATAGTGAAATGTACCTAGAGTGAAATAGTTTGAATCTCAGCTCCAATAATTTTGCATTTATCGTGATAAAATGGGCTTGACCTTGTATATCGCCATAGCTCTTTTAATCAATCATGGTGTAAAGTTCAATCATTTCATCACGATTCGTCTTACCAAATATGGTGAAAGGTGTTACATATTTATATATAAGTGAAATTATCTCTTGCTTCATACATAACGGTTGTCTCTCTCAAAATAAAACTCTAATATCTATTTTATTCATCTCTCTCAAAAGAAAGCCATAACACTTATTTCACTCATCTCTCTCAAAATAAAACCCTAACATCTATGTCACTCATTTCACTCATATTGAAACCCCAAACTTATGCAGCGATTTCGTCTTCTTCAAATCTTAAGAAATGGTATCTTACAGTTACAGGTTCATCTTCACCCTAGCTTATGTTTCAAAATCTTTTTATCTACTATTGTTTAGATTTCAATAGCTTGTTTCATAATGTTTAAATTTTCTGCTTGTTTTTACTTGTAGGTATGGATGAGTGAATGAGAAAAATTAACGAGGATGAAGCTAAAGTGAACGCTGCAAACTTGTGTGGGTGCTACAAACTTATGTATTAACACATGTTTGTTGCTCTCACTTCAGCTTCATCCTCTTTCCTTTCATTTTGGATGTCATTATGGGCCAAGTACGTTTCTTACACATTTTATGAGTTGATGTTGTTGTTACATATAAAAGTTGTATGTTGTTTAAGGTTTTGTTGATGAATGTTATTGCTAATGTTTGATTAAGATGAGTTTATTATATCTTATATGGTTTGAGTGTTTTTCCAACACCTTACCGAATATATAAATTTTTTTATTGTATTAGAAAATTATAAAATGATAGATAATGTTATACTTGAAAACAATTTAGACGTTCAGTTCTAGACAAGAATTCTTAAACTCATTATCTGCATTTTGCTCCTTAATAGTGAAAACTTGGTTTAATGCTTCTAGTTTTTTAACCTCCCCTTCCTTCACCTCTAATTTGTTTTGTAAAGTAAATAATATATTGTAAAATGAACTAGAGGTGAAGGAAGAGGGGTTGAAGAACTAGGAGCATTAAAATAAGTACTAATAGTTAAAAAGCAAAATACGAATAAGGAGCTGAAGAATTCTTGTTTAGGGTTGAACGTGTAACTTTTTCTTCTAATATAACTTAATTTATCATATTATAATGTTCTAGATCATACTAAAAAGTTATATGTTTGGTAAGAATTGGAAAAGTAAGCATTCCATATAATTTATAATAAACTCAGTGTATATATCACAACAGTTGTTTATAACAACCGTTGTTAAATGTTTTTCTTTAACGCATATCACAACGGTTGTTTAAAGTAATCATTGTGATAGGTAGCGCATTACTTGACTTATCATCATGATCGCGCGCCGTGGTGGAAAGCATCATACATACAACCACCCCTTACCTTATAACGGTTGGTCAGACATTGTGGTATCCCTTTTCCAACTGTTGTGATATCCCTTTTACGTAGTAGTGCATAAACCTATAAGTAGCGTGCTAGTGTGATATCTCATAATGCACTTGACCATAGAGAGATGTGATTCTTTGAGGTTTTTTTGAAAGCGAACAAAAAGATTGACATCAGACATGATATCAGGACGAGATTCAGCAATATAAAGAAGATAATTAATCATACATAGATACTTTCTTTCTTCAACTACTTTTCTCTCCACGTCTTTATTCAGCCTACATGTTGAGATTAGTTTTACTTTATCCATATTGAATCACCTCAGTAGCTCTTAATAATATTTATCTTGATTGATGAAGGTACCTTCCCTTGATAGATAAATTTGTAAGCCAATAAAGTATTGTCTTACCCCAATAATATGCATTTTGAATTTATTTCGCAACATATTATAAAATTGTCGCACAAGGATTATTTAGTAGCACCAAGCATAATATCATTAACATATATTTTCACAAGTAAAATATCATGCTCGGATTTTTCGATGAAAATATTTGTATTAACCTTCCCTCTTTGAAACTTGTTTTCAAGCATAAACTTGCTCAGACAATTGATAACTCATTATTTGTGATTTAAGCCTTTGATACTTGAAATAAATGACAAAGTTGTGCTTTTTTAAAATTAATCATTTATGTTTTTATTTTTTTTGTTTAAATAGTAGTTAGCACACTAGATGATCTTTTTGTTGTTTTTATGTGTTTTTATGTGTATGCAGAAGTAACTCTGGTGACAAATTTTGTCACGTCTGATATGTATGACCACTACTTATCAGACCTTGATCTAGAAGAGGCTAGTAAAGGTTATGAACTTTCGTGTAAGGGTTGACGTGGAAAATTTTAGAGGAAGGTAACTAGGGTTGAATTGTAAAGCTAAAGAGATAAGGATGAGCGCTAGAAAACAAAAGTATGAAAAGGAAAATTTTGGAGCACTGC